TCTGAAGACCTCCAACCGCCAAGTAGATATCACGACGACGTCTAATTGTCACCAATGAGCAGAGCGTGGCTCATGAATCCCAGTTACAAGCGCAAAAGACGCAACGCCTTTTGCAACTCACCCACGTCGTACTTACACACTCCACCCACCTCTCGCTGTGCCGGGCCCTTACACGCCTATGTGTGTGCTTCTCGTCTCAATTAAAAATTTGAAAGTCGTCTGCGGGCGCTTTCGGACCCAACAGGTCTAAATCCACAATAATACCGCCTGCGGTTGGAGAAACCCTGTGCCGTCCATTAGGACATCTGAATGCGGGTGGAAATTTCGGAATGTATCGTATTAACTATTTCACCGAAGAAGGCGCTGCGTCTCACCAGTAGAATAGCTTACTTACCGATTTCAATTAGACGTACGTCAGACCAGAGCGTCGTTTAAGACTTGATCTCGCGAAGTACATGGATGTTGCGGTGGAAACTTGTTGCCTCCAAAGCCTGCTGTTAAAGCTTCGATTATCTCTATGAGACGCGTGGATCTGCTATCGTACAAATGGTAAACTTTTAGCAAAATCAGTGGAGGAAGTGGGTTATGCTGGGCAACTCTCTTCCTTCTCCAGGGGTTAAAGGACGAGAGTGCACAAAGTCACAATCGGCAACGGCACCAGGGTGATCTTGCCGAAGTGGAACCTCAAACTTACATCAGTTCTTGGTGTAAGTAAATTTCTTCCACTTTACCAATTTTTGGTAATATCTATGATGTACTAAACGTTTTACGTGAAAGTGGACCGCCCTTTGCTAATCGAGCAGTGCTGGCGGAGATCGACCCTCCCGCCATGGCATGTCGAATTTTTTCGGGAATCTCGACCTACGTCCGAATTTGTAAGCCATCTGAAATGATTTATCGAGTTAGCTGGCTTGATGCACCTCCGGTGATAGGGCCGTATTGCTTCTCTAGAGCAGAGTATCAGCTACAGAGGATGGTCGAGACGCTGCTCCGCCTCAAGCAGGTCGCTACATTTCTGGCTGGCACCTAAGAGATTTAAGCTACCGGAATCCACACGCTAGGTTTAAGTTTTCTATAGCGCGGGACGCTTGTAGCTATCCGACCCAGTTTGGGACTGAGTTCCGTACCCCTCATTATACTATGGGGCTTTTGCGGTGAGTGGGGCCTCCTCCCACCATTGGGTGCAGATTGGCAGGGCGGTCACACAACAGGGGTGTTATTGCTCGTTCACATTAGTGACCTATCTCCGACGTCCTTGATTCGGATCCTATGGGCATCGAACTAGGTACCTTCTGGTCCCAGACCAAGCTACAAACCACTTGAGCCAGAAATCGGTTGACTGGCGCCTCAGAGCGGACGCATTATACGGGTTTAGATACGTAGAAAACCGGATGTGTTCTCCTGTGTATCCTTATCGAATGTCAATAGTGTGATTAACCTTTTCTTTGGTATGAACATAGACGGTCTGGTATAGTGGAAACGCATCGTATTAGTATTGACCACAAACAATTTATATGTAGATAAGTTAAAAGCATTCACAGAGAAATTTGTTCGCCCACTACATGTCCATGTGTTTTCTACCTGTCTCTATCATTTGCAGATTGCTTCAGCTCAACCGGGTGCTCAGCCATACCGCTACACACTTGGTGCACGGCGCTTACAGTCATCAGGGTACAGTCTGTAATTTTGCTATGAAGACCAGCTCGGCAGATTAAATTCTACTTACAATCCTTCACCAAAGCCGGGTCTAATTCGTGGTGGAGGTTAATCATACCGCCATATATTAATATGGTGAAGACTGTAGAATTGTATTGCAATTTATAGATCAATGCGCTTTCGTATCGTCAGACCGTTGATTTTGCATTTCGGCATTGTGACGTCGCGATGTGATGGTTTAATAGGTACTGCGTATGGCTTAGACGCTGAATATGCTGCTTTGTTAAAAGATTTGGGACGCAAGGTATCTGGGAGCTTAGATATCGCTTTTTTGAAGCACGCGGTTTCATGTCTGCACCACTATTTGTCGCAATACTTGCAATACTCTAGCACTGACGCACTTTGAATCTCATAATGCGGAACACAAGCACGAAGCTATTACAGAATTTACCTCTTGCTTAAAGTTTACTTCTTTGAGGGCTGCCTCGGAAGACAAAAGACATAAGACTCAGGGAGCGAAATCTACTCACATTTCAACATGCATAAGGGCTACAAATTTAATTGTCTACATGTGCATCATGTCAAACTATTAGATCCACGACGCATGCACTGGCACCTTTGATCAGCCTGCGGTTACAATCGTTTGTTGGTAGTCCGTATACATGATCTTTAGTTTCTTTCCTTGAAAGGCACATCTAGAAATACCATCCGTTTGGTATCTGTGAGCCGTCTAGATAAAGTGGCTCACCTTGTTGATGTGGACAAAAATGTGACCAGTGAGGAAGCACCCAATTTGCTTTCGGAAAAAGTCTTATCGGCATTACTTACTAATCGCCACTTACTCCAAATCGAGATCGACAGTCTAAGCAAAGTTCTAGCATGCTCATGCAATATGCTAGGCACTAAGTCAGATACACCCACCGCTGACCTTTGCAGAAAAATGGTTGGAAAAAACGCGAAGGCCGCGTGATAGAGATATCTACTCAAGCACTTGCGCGCAAATTCAGCTGTTTTAGAGCAGAATGCTCTTACTTATTACATTCGCCACCGCATTAGACCGATCTGATTAATAGCTTCCCTCAAACGTGTGCGCGGCGGTAAAGAATAATCATCTTGTCACTCTCTGCGAGAGATGTGGTGGCGATGTGTTTGTGCATGATCGCTATGGATCACAAACAACTAATAGCCACCAGTTGCGGTCTAAACTTGCGACGGGCAAACCTCATTGCAAATAGCTTATTCATGAAAAGGGCAGTTCTTCTCCACATCTACCAGCTGGCAAAAATCAAACGCGATCACGCTTCGCTCCCATTACCATGCTGCTTAAAGTGAACCGTAGCCTCTTGTAAGGGCTAAAATGACTCAGGGGACGTGGCGAGGCCGATCTGAGTTCGAAAGATTTGACTTGTCAAAGAGCTCGCTGGCATCCTCGCCAAGGATCATTCTATATGCGTCGATCGCGAAGGCCGCTTTAGTGGGGGCTCGTTGAGCCATTAAATTTGGTGCATGGGAGCGGCCTATCGAAGAGCAGGCACGCTCAATGCAGAGAGTAGTGTGAAATTCCGGACGCAATGATTGATTAAGCGTTTGTACAGTGTGTTTTTACAAAAAAGCCCCACATCTACCTGGGCGGATTGTATTCGAAGAAGTACTTTTAACTTTTGAGTAAAAGTAGTATTGTAAAGCAAGCGCAATACTGCATGGCTTTTCTAGATTAGTCCTCGGAGACAGTCTGCTCTTCGATTTTACCAAATACTGGTGACAGCGGATCGGAAATCTTCGATGAGGTCTATAACGTGTGATGCAATATTTGATTCCGGGAAATAAGTCAATGTTGTGGCACACTCTCGATCCGAGGACATCCCGCGTGTGATGACTCTCATATCAGTGTATCGCTCAGCCGAAGTCAGTTGTACACACAACATTTTAAATGTTACAACACGGTACATTGTACGAATTCATATTTCACCGAAATTACCGGAATATCGGTATTTCTGAAGGTACATTGCCGCATGTAATACATCTGAATATAATATACATATAAAAATATATGCATGAACTTCAAATGTATGGACTGCTGAAAATGCAGAGCAAACGAATAGTGCTACTTACATGAGGAAACTCGGTCACTTTTCTTTCAAGATCGTGCGAACTCAATCTCTGCGCATTCGTGAATTCGAACCCTAAGATTAAAATCATTTTCTGTGCAGAGTTCACGACGACACTGTTCCAGTTACGGATAAGCCTCACGAACAGTTAAAGGCTTAAGGGAAATTGTGTGTTGCTTGCTAATTCAGATGAACAAGATATGCAACTAATGCTGATGATTGGCCGTCGATAATATCTCAATCGGTGGTGATAAGAGTGTATATTCATTGCGCTCGAGTTGACCTCCTATTAATTTGAGTTCAACTGCTCGTTTGTGTCGAGTGCGTTTTTTATATTTTATGTCAGTGAAACAGCTATGTAATCATATCGTAATGTCAAGCTTTGTGAATAAAGTGTGCTATATCGTTTATGCATTTAACTTATCAGCAAGAATTGAGCGATGGAGTTATAACATATACCTCATGAATGTTTAAGTATTTGATGCGGGTTAGCACGATACACAGATGCAATTTTCATGCGCACGATACATAGCACTAAAATTCACATCTAGAATTTATCGGTCAATGACGTTCTGTGTACAATCAAACAAGTAAAATTGATACCTGCAAGGTCTCCCGGTAAACCATGGATATGCAAGGAGTACAACTCCACATTATTTTTGGTCTGAAAAGTGAGATTCTGGAATATCAATTCAACTCGAGGTGAATATTCATGAAACGTAATTGATTCCACTTTCTGTCGATGATATCTCTTAAGCATTTGATTGCTTCGTCTTTTAATGTATGTTTTGATGTGGAAAAGCAATGTTCATATATACCGGAAAAGATAAGCAAAAAGATGAATACCGTCACATTATTTGGAGAAAGCGAAAAGAATTTTGAGCTACCATCTCTAGTCCAAAAACATCGAGGTTGGCATTTCCAGACCAAAAGTCTTTGAAACAAGATCGTGCGCTTTTATCTTAGACTCTGTGTCGAATCCCCCACAACTACATTGGATGGTGCAAAGCGCGATTTTAGGTGGTAAAAGGAAGACACTAAAGGGTCTTTGTAATAACTTTACTAAACCTCATGTCGAAGGCGACCTGCCTCTATATTCGTGAGAAGGTGAATTTGCTTAATGAACCTAACGTGCTATCACCTGAGTATGCGATCATCTTGGATTTGGAATATTAGGGAGATTGATGAATTACAGATGCGTGTGTTAAGTAAAGATTGCAACGTTGACTACACTAGCTACGCCAACGTGTAAACCATAGTCACCGGTCGCCTGGTGTTGTCATCAAAAAGCTCTAGTGCTTTTACAAGTTCGTCCTCGTCAACGGGAGCCCAAATCTTACGATCGTTGTCAAGTTGAATAGCGTATGGATTACCCTGATCCCATAGCTGAACGATTGTGCCAACTTGGAAACCATCTTCGCCAGTGTTGGCCATCACTCGGTCTCCCACTTGAAACCTTAGCTTGTTTGTGGCTCGACAAGCTAGAAATCCCTCGGTCAACGCTTCACGATCAAGATTTTTGCCAATGAAAACAAAGCGCGTCTCGCGCTTCTCGTTTGGGGACCAATTGTCGGCGAATCGACCCTTGAACAGCGTGTGTACGCCCTGAAAAATGTATTTCCGGTCGATACCAGCGATATTTATTACGCCCTTGTAGCGCAGGAGATCGTCCCCTTCCGTCTCCAGGATCTCATCAATCCATTCTTCTAACAGCGCAACCAGAATAGGTTCTTGTAAACAGAGCCCGACTGAGGATACGAGTGAATGTTTGTGTTGGTGTTTGCTGATGTGGTCTTTTTCTTCATCTTCATGGTCATGATTAGAATGCTGGCTATGTTCACCAGCGTCATCTTTGTCAGACACTAAAAAATTTGGCTGTCTCTTCAAGATGAAGTCAATATCAAACGTCTTGACGTTAAGCAATAGCGACGGATCCACGCGACAATGCTGACATTCGATGACTGACACAGCACTGTTTATCTCACGAATTTGATTATGAACCTTAGCGAGCTCGTTTGAGCTCACCAAATCCGTCTTGTTGAGCAGGAGGCGGTCTGCAAAGGCAATCTGTTCCTCACACTCAAATTCTACACCGTTGCCCGGTCGAAGGTGCTGCAGAATGTGTTTTGCATCGACAACAGTGATAATCCCGTCAAGTTCGCACGTCGCCGCCACCAAAGGTTCGGCGAAGAACGTTTGCACAACGGGACCTGGATCGGCCATACCGGTGGTCTCGATGATAATTCCATCCAGCTGGTCGCGATCTCCATTGCGCTTTACAATCTGAGCAATCAGGCGAACGAGGTCGCCTCGAACAGAGCAGCAGATACACCCATTGTTCATCGTAAGAATCTCTTCACCCATATTGAATTTGCGGCTTCTCGAGTCGCCTCCACCAATGTCATCTGGACTAGTGACTTGGCGAATGAGATGGTCATCCACACCGACTTCTCCAAACTCGTTTTCTATGATAGCGAATTTCTTGCCGTGGTTTTCCGTTAACAAATGATTCAACAGCGTTGTTTTACCACTTCCGAGAAATCCTGTGAGGATTGTTACGGGCAGTTTTGATGGAGTGTGTGAGCGCTTGGACATTGCTTGGTTATCAAAGAAATAGAATATAGAGGTCGATGGAGTGTTAAGAAATTTGAAAATGACGATGTACAACTTCGAGGTTATCGACTGTTTTCCATCTAGTCGCCGTCGGATAGATAGATCGATCTACGTGTTGTTTTCTAAGTTTTGTGTACGTTTCTGTCGACGCCGTCGGCTCGTTTTGCCGACGGCGAAATGCACACCGTAATCACAAATAGACACGATCTACAGTGTGATGGAAGAACGAGAATACACGATACTTGACGTATGTTTACTCCAATGTAAACTTCAATAAAATATGCATAAAGTGTTATCATTGTTCTAGCTTCTTTTTATCTTGTTTTGCAATAAAAAGAGTTTCAAGTAAATTTATTAGCTGCTGATCTACCAACGTGATGACTTTTCCTTCCTAAACAAGGACTTCCTTAATCCACTGAAATGAGCACCAAATCAGTACACGGCCATGTTGTCTAACAAAGGAATGTCAGCCTTCTCAGCCATGTAGTCGATGTACTCGCGGAGTTTGGGAGGCCATTCGAGGTCACGCACAAGGGTGAGCCCACGCAGACGGCCGAAGAGGTTAATATCATCATAACTGAGAGTCTCGTTAAATGAGCGATCTGAGTGAAACATAGGAGCTAGCTGCGCCAAAAACGTGTTGGCCTGCTTGACAAGTTCTGGTGTATTATCTAGCGCATCCTGAAAAGAGCCGATAGTCTTCTCTTTTTTCATTCGGTAATACTCCCGGCTCTCAATTCTGGCAAATTCGGCAAGTGGAGCCGCATGAAATCGTGGGTGGTACAGCATTCGAAACACATTGGCTGAGTTCTCGATCCACTTGGTAAGCTCAGGCCGATTAGACGACGGGGCTAGCAAGACTGGTCCGCCATAGTGCTCATCCACATATTTGACAATGTCCATACTCTCTGGAAAGGCATGACCATTGACCAGTTTCAAAATTGGGACTTGTTTGGAGCCTATGAGGTTGACCGGAGTAATTTCGTCGTGGTTCGCCAGAAATACAAGATCGTGAGGCACCTTTTTTAAGCCGAAGATCATACGCGCGCGTACGCAGTATGGGCAGTGATCGTACACATATAGTTTGGGTAGCAGCTTTTTTGTCGTGGATTTGCGTATGAATAGAGCGGTGGTCGCGGCACCGACGATTGAGCCCACGGCAAAGGTAGCGATAAGCTTCGACGAGTCTGACATGACAAAGCACAAATTTCGGAATTATTCCAGCCACTCATCAATTAGACACTGATGAGTTTCAAAAAGCTTTCAGATTAAATAAAACAGTATCACAATGTAGGGATATAATACTCATGCTGCGTCCAACTTAAATAGTTAAATTGGGCACTTTTAAAGGATGGGATTAGTGGATCACAATCTCAGCGCAACGCAAGTAGACTATTTGATCGATCGAGTAATTTACTCTTGCCATTAAAGTTTTCTTCCACGAAACACCTTTCACAACCACTAACCCCATCGACGAATTCCAATGATTCACCTTCGCCGAATAGAGCCAACGATCATGGATCTTCTGATGATCATTTTTGTATGGAGAGCAAGGTCCACTTTAATAGTCAAGGTACGTTATTTGATCTTGATTGACTCACGAATATGAGTGAGAGATTTTGAAGCAAGGGTGATTCGCATCGAGAAATGTCAATTAACGCAATTTAGTCGAGTAATTTTGAGACTGCCTTGGGCGGTAGACACTGATACGTGTTCAGACATTCGAGTATATTGAAATCCCCAAAATAGCCAGAGACGCTATTGATGACATATTCTGAATCTGAGCGACGCCAAATCGGCGGTGCCAGTAGTTATGTATTGCAATGGGGTAGCCTTCCTGCAGCGGGGCTGCCATAGCTCTTTGCTTGAGGAAGCTTACTAAGGTCACCGACCTTACGTTCTATACTAGAACCAGTACGAGTATTGCGGATCGCAATCCGCTACCTCCAAGAGTACCCAAAACCTTAACCCAAGGTAAATGAACTCTTCCGTTCAGAATTGAAACTGTTTTGATTTGTTTTTTTCAACCTTAGGTTTTCCTGATTTAATAGCGAAACCTAATTAATTTGCGTAACTACTGGCAGTCCCGCCACATAGTGGCTTTTAGCCACAACATTGGGTGATTACATCGGCTTGTGTAATCCAAACCTTCCTACGGTCACACCATCTTGTGCGGCCCGCTCTTTCATATAAGAAAAAAGTGTAACCCCATTACACTTGCGAGAAAGCATTGGTTCTCACAGCTCGCGCAAACAAATTGCACAGTTATTGGGTCTGTGCGTTTCTATACAGAGTGCAATCGAGAGCCTCAAATGTCATTAACGCTATTAGTTTGCGCTGCAATTTTAATAGTATTTACAGGATTATTCTTATTCAGACTAATACTAAATATGTAAATCAATATTCGATTAGACTGTTTTTGCTTTTCACCTGCGGCTTGATAAGTCGGATCCTCCTTGTTGAGATTTTTGTCACTTGCACAAAACAATCTTCTATTGCCGAGGGTGATGAGTAACTGATATAAAGGCCATTCTAAAGGTAGTATAGACGACTGACAGCAAAAGCTGGGATGAATACATCACGATAACACAAATTTTTGCCAGGGGCTGAAAATGGTAATTTGTGTGAGACACGGAATTGGCTCGGCAAGCTTAATTTGCAGAAAGAGAAGTGCATGGATTTTAAAGCATGAAGGGCGATGTTTCAGATCAAGATTTTGCTCAATTGGCGCATTGATATTTAAGCCGCCAAGTTTTGTCGTGGTGATATAAGAACTCGACTTTGGAACATCCAACGCAGCGTAAATTGCAAAATTTGCAGCCAAATCAATCTCGCTAATAGCATGCGATTGTACACAGCCCAAACCCGTGCGCACCGCAATCGAACTAAGCAAGACTTATATTTAACAACCGTGAGCGGTGATTGTGAAGAAAGCGGGTTTCATCTCGGAAGTTATTGTATTTATGCCGTTCCGAACATCAAAATGACAATGTGACCAGTATCAACTATATTCGAGTAAAATTTGCACCACAGGTTGGAGACATCTGACATACTTTGCCTAAACTAAAGAATTCTAAACAGAGCCGACATTAGTGCGACCAATGTCGCAGCAAAGTCGATTAAAAGTAAAGCACGTCAATCTTGCGAAAGGAAATTATTTTCGAATCTTTGATCCATTTAATATGAGAAGCGGTCTATAGAATGATGAACTTACGAAAGATGATTATACATTATAGAAAGGTTGGTAAATTACGAAATATTTTGTCAGGTGAGAACAGCAAGCATGTGATGAGCAATATAGGTTTTGTTATGGACATATTCGATATCCAAATGACAGTATAACAGTTGTACGGACGGAGGAGCTCTGCGATTACTTCAAATGCATAATTCAAGGCTGACAGAAACACAGATTGGGCCTCTTTGCGGATACTCCGAAATGGACGGTGATTTTAAGACAATAGTTTACAGCAGTTAAAAATACCAAGTGCGCGTAAGCAAACTTCCAAGAAATGGATGCATATCGAACAATTATGATGTTAAATGTTGCAACCCCCTATTTTGTGACACCTAAATTATTTATAACAATTTAGGTACCTTTTATCCCGAAGTTACAAAAGTCATTTCGCCGAGTTCCATCAAATTAGTACGCAAAAAGGTGTGATGTGTAGCTACCCGAATGAATTAGAAAACTGTGAGACATTGCAATGTTGCGGGTATCTGCGGACGAACTTTCAGCGACCTGGTCAGACGTAATCACTGTCAACAACTTGTTTAGGATATACCAAACCTTAGAGTCAAATGTATGTGTGAAGTTGGCAAATTTCTCAATTTAGAGCTGATTTGTGTGTGGTCAGAAATTATGTGCTGTGCTGAAAAGCATCGACGCACTTCTAATGTTGCTGGTGCATTTGACAGCCCTTGGTGCATCACCAGCT